TGCTTGACATCTAGTGCGGACACAAACCATCATTTTTTTTACTACCTTCGAAAAAAGTCACCTCAGCCATTTATTGTGGTGGAAATATGGTAAAATACCACCAACATGTACCCAGTAGGAGCAAATGTTGAGACAGGATTCAAAGGACAAACTGAAAAAAAATTGGATTATTAAAAGAATATTTTTCCCAACCTTGGATTTCTAAAGAATATTTTCAAGGGGCCACTATTTCTGGATTTTTTTAACATTGCTTTGGATTTTTTAAATAACATTTTTAAAAGGCCAGCGAAATTTTGATTTGATCATTTTTTTTCAACGAAACATTTTTTTAAATTTTTTAAAGAAAAAAATTTTAGGACCAACAAAATGTAAATTTTTTGCAAGGACCAACAAAACGTAGATTTTTGAAGAAAATATTTTTAAGGACCAACACAATATTTTTAAGGACGAACGAAAAATAGATTTTTTAAAGAAAATATTTTCAAGGACCAAAACAATATTTTTAAGGACAAACGAAACGTAGATTTTTCGAAGAAAATATATTTTTTCAAGGCTCAAAACAGCCTGTATTTTTTAAGGAAAATAATTTCAAGGACCAAAAAATGGGAATTTTTTAAAGAACATATTTTCAAGGATCAAAAAAAAAATTAAAAAAAAAATATTTTTAAGAAACAACAAAACGTGAATTTTTTAAAGAAAATATTCTTAAGGACCAAAAAAATTGTTTAAAGAAAATAGTTTCAAGGGCCAACAAGAGGTGTACTTTTTAAAGAACATTTTTCAAGGACCAACAAAAGGAGGATCTTTTAAAGAAAAATTTTTAAGGACCTTTTAAAGAGGAGGATCTTTTAACGAAATTTTTTTCAAAGACCAACAAAAGTTAAATTTTTTAAAAAAATATTTTTAAGGACCAACAAAACGTGAATTTTTAACAAATATAATTTCAAGGAACAAATGGTTTTTTTGAAAAAAATTATTTCAAGGACCAACAAAACGTGGATTTTTAAGGAAAAAATTTTTAAGGACAGTTTCGTTGGTCTTTTTTAAAGAAACATTTTTTCTAGGATCAACAAAATGTGGATTTTTAAAAAGATAATATTTTCAAGGACCAACAAAATAGGAATTTTTAAAATAATAAATAAAGAACATTTTTTTAGGGCCAGCAAAATGTCGATATTTTTTAACAAAAATATTTTTAAGTACCAACAACACGTGATTTTTTTTAAATAAATTATTTTTAACGATCAACAAAACGTGAATTTTTAACGAAAATAGTTTCAAGGAGCAAGAAAAAATTTTTCAAGGACCAACAAAATAGGGATTTTTAAAATAATATTATTTCAAGAACCAACCAAACGTGGATTTTTAAAAAAAAAATAGTTTCAAGGACCAACAATAAAATTTTTAAAATAATATTTTTTGTGGACCAACGAAACGAGGATTTTTAAAATAATATTCTTTTAGGGACCAAACGAAAAAAAAATTTTTTTAAAGAAAACATTTTCAAGGACTAACAGAATGGGATTTTTTTTAAGAAAAATATTTTAAGGACCACCAAAACGTAAATTGAGTAAAGAAAATAATTTCAAGGACCAACAAAAGGTGAATTTTTTAAAGAAACTATTCTCAAGGACCAACAAAACATGAATTATTTAAAATAATAATTTCAAGGATCAAAAAAATGGGGATTTTTTAAAGAGAAATATTTTCAAGGACCAAAAAAACGTGGATTTTTAAAAAAATATTTTTTCAAGGACCAACACAACGTAGATTTTTTAAAGAAAAATATTTTCAAGGACCAACAAAAAGTTGATTTTTTAAGAAAATATTTTCAAGGACAAACGAAACGTTTATTTTTAAAGAAAAATATTTTTAAGGACCAACAAAACGAAGATTTTTAAAATAATATTTTTTAAGGACCAAACGAAACACAATTTTTTTAAAGAAAATATTTTCAAGGACAAACAAAATGGTAATTTTTTTAAAAAAATTATTTTAAAAACCAACGTAAATTGTTTTAAAAACATTTTTTTCAAGAATCAACAAAGCCTGGATTTTTTAAAGAAAATATTTGTAAGGACCACCAAAACGTAAATTGATTAAAGAAAATACTTTCAAGGACCAACAAAAGGTGAATTTTTTTAAAGAAACTATTTTCTAGGACCAACAAAACGTTTATTTTTTTAAAAACATTTTTTCAAGGATCAACAAAATAGGAATTTTTAAGTAAATTATTTTCAAGGACCAACCAAACGTGGATTTTTTAGAAAAAGAAAATATTTCAAGGACCAACAAAATAGGGATTTTTAAAATAATATTTTTTTAAGGACCAACAAAACGTGAATTTTAAACGAAAATAGTTTCAAAGATCAACATAAACTTGATTTTTTAAAAAAAATATATTTTTAAGGACCAACAAAATAGGGATTTTTAAAATAATATTTTGTCGTGGACTAACAAAGCGAGGATTTTTAAAATAATGTTTTTTAAGGACCAAACGAAACGCAATTTTTTAAAGAAAATATTTTCAAGGACCAAAATTATGGGGATTTTTAAAATAATATTTTTTCGGGGACCAACAAAACGAGGATTTTTAAAATAATAGTTTTTAAGGATTTTTTAGAAAAAAAATATTTTCAAGGACCAACAAAATAGAGATATTTTAAATAATATTTTTTCGTGGACCAACACAACGAGGATTTTTAAAATAATATTTTTTTAAGGACCAAACAAAAGAAAAAAGAAAAAAAATTATTTTAAGGGCCAACAAAATATGAATTTTTTAAAGAACATTGATTAAAGAAAATACTTTCAAGAACCAACCAAAAGTGGGTTTTTTAGGAAAAATTGGATTTTTTAAAGAAAATATCTTTAAGGACCAACAAAATGGCGATTTTTGAAAGAAAATTTTGAAAGAAAAATTTTGAAGGACCAGCAATAGGAACGTGGATTTAAAAAAAATACTTCTGGAACGTGGATTTAAAAAAAATATTTCTTAGGAACATAGATTTTTTAAAAATACTTCCTCAGGAGCGTAGATTTTAAAAAATACTTCTCAGGAACATGGAATGTTTAAAAATACTTCCTCAGGAGCGTGGATTTTTAAAAAATACTTCTCAGGAACATAGATTATTTAAAAAGTACTTCCTCAGGAATATTGTGTAAAATCTGATCTCAATATATTGAGAACTGGAACTCCTGATCAACAGGGAATTAGCAGTGTGGAATTTTCTCGAAGTCCCTTAAGCGACATTCTCTGTGCTTATATGGCCATAACTCAGAGACATGGTTATCGATTTGTTTGAAATTTGCCTTAAATGAAAGCTAAGACGTTCGGCTTTCAATTATCTCCTAGGCATAAGACTGAATTTTTTCTAGAAAAATATCTATACATCCACAGAAATCGAAATGCATTCTCGGCACTGAACTTTTTTGTTAGAACACAAATTGCCACATATCTATGGAACTGTTTAACTGATTAATGTATAAAGGGGCGGAAATGAAAGTAAGGACTCAGTACTATGACATATTTAAAACTTAATTTCAAAGGTTACCTAGAGAAGAAATTCTAGGTCAAAGAAGGAACACCCAAGGAACCTCGTTCCAACTCAAGAGATCGAAATATATGCCCAAAGCGGAAATTTGAATTTTTATACAATATATTTTAAATTTTTACCGTAATTCTCCAAATATATATTAGGTCCATGGAAACAATCAAAACAATTCAGAAATGCCCGAGTAAAATTTTGTGTATATATCTGTATATATTTTACTTAATTTTTCATAAGCCTTTGGATAACTTAATTTATAATTTTGAAATTGTTAAAATTCATTTGTCCACCACGAGCCAATGGGTTGTGCTATGGTTCTAAAATTTTGTACCGTAATTTGTCATGATCTTTGTCAAAATCAGTGTAAAAATTATAGCAATATGGCGATTCGTTTCCATACTGGGACTTGGTGAATTAAATTTCACAATTATAAGCACCATAACTGACTCTCTTTGTACTTGTGCTTATGAGGCCATAGCTCTAGTCCTAGTTGCCCAATCTTTTTGAAAGTGGTCTCAAATGAAAGCTAAGACCCCTTGCCTTCAATTTTATTTGGGGAAAGAAATCAAATTTTTTTTAGAAAAATATTTATGAGCCTAGAGAAATCGGGACATTATCTCGACATTAAACTTTTTTGTGAGAATTTTCTTTCCCACTTATCTATGGAATGGGTAGACTGATTAATATAAAAGGGGTCGCAAATGAAAGCTGGGGTTCTATATTCTAACATATTTGTAGCTCAGTTTCATAGGCTATATAGGGAAAAAGTTATAGCCCATAGAATGAATACCCAAACCACACCATTCCAACCTAAACTTCTCAATGGAAAATTTAAAAAGGAAAACAATATTATTTTAAAATAAATTTAAGAATTTCTCCCTAAATCTCCTAGACCTATTGGATTGAGGAAAAGAATATCTTCCAGAAGTCCTCAAAATCCTAAAGATAGATTTCCAGATGTTTTTTATTTGAAATTTGAAGTAAGTTATTTTTTGGCACTTAGAAACCATGTTTAACAATTTCTGTCACATCCCTTTAATGCGGCCATGTTTTGAAATTTTTAGGCCTTTCCTAAAAATTTCTTAACCCGCCTCGTCAAAATTCGAATATTTCACCACGAAGACCAAACATTTCACCATCATTTTCGTAACTACCCAACACTACCCTCTCTTCAACTTTTTCACCACTTTGGTTTGAATTGAACCCAATTGGTGGTGGAGTCTTGGCTAAATGAAACCGGTTTTGAGACGGGCTAAAGTGGCCCACCGAATAAATTTAGGTCGTTCGGTCCTCAGGAACTATTTCTTCAGTTTTTTTTAATTGAAACGAAAATCGAATAATTTTTTAATTTTTTTTTTTTGAATTTTCATTTTTTATTTTTTTTTAAATTTTCTTTAAAAACCCTCCATTTCTTCTTTGAAATAAAAAAAATTCTCCTTTTCTTTGCAGTTTTTGTTTTATTTTTTGAAATTGAAAACCACCTCCCTCCCTCCCAACAACCAAAAAAACCCACTCAATGCTAAAGTGGACACGTCAACAACAACGTCAGTCTCTTCAACTTCTACAGTCTCGACTCTCTACTTCAAATTCTCTTCAAAATCCACATCCGTCCCTCTCTGCCTCAGCGAAAAAAACGTTACTCCAGTGGAAATTTTCAGCAGCTGCCATCCAAAACCAATCCGAAAATGCCCACCATGACCGAAACTTTGGAAAGACGTCTGTTGCGTCGCTCTCTGGACAACCACTTGGATAGTCCTTTGGAAGAGAGAAGACGTCGCTCTTCACCCCGCCACTCTCTGACCGGCAATCATAACAAGGAAAACTTTGGGGTGCATTTTGTACGCCATTCTTTTGGCAACACTAGCCTTAGTGCTTTGCAGGATCTCAGTAATGGCAAAAGTCCTCGCAGGCCTCAAGAGGACACTCCCCCCGCAGCGCCCACAATACACATTAAAAGGCGTAACCTTCGGCGGGTTTCCATGAACCTGGAAAGAACACCCCAGCCGCCAAATGATCATCTGCGATCCCGATTTTCTGATGATTTTGCCAACGAGGAGGATATCACTCCCCTGTCGCGGCTAAAGTTCCGGAATAAAATCAAAGAAGATTCCCTCTCCTCTTCGCGTATGGGAGATGTTACCCTGGATCGCATGTTGGATGCCATCATTGAGAGTGCACGCAAAGATGTCAAAGCCCAAAGTCCTCCCAGGACTCCGGAAATCGAAATCAAAGAGGCCGACAAGGATGAGAGTATTCACGAAATGGAGGTAAGGACACCGCAACATTTGAAACGGCAAAGGGTGGTAAGGAGAAAAAATCCCAAGACAACCGACAAAAAAGCCAGCAAGGAGAAGGTCAAGGAAAAGCGGGAGCAGCAGGAAGGGAAAAGGGAAATGACTCTAGAAGCCCCCACAAGATCTCAAGGACGCCCAGAAATGATTGGCTTGACATTGCCCAATGGCATACCCAGCCCCGAAACCCCGGAGGCCATACAACACTACACCAACCACAAATCGCTGCTGAACATGGAAACACCCCCTCCCGCCATGGAACAACATTTGCTCTTCTCAGGCGCGGGCAAAAGTGTGGCGGTCCACTGCAGTACCCCTACCTTGGCCTTGGAAGGCCATCCCAACTCCATTAAACGTTGCCTCAGCTTCTCCTGTGCCAGTGAGGAGGATACCGACGATGCCAGCTACACGAACAGCAAACGTGGCTCGATGACCTCTTCCATTGCCAGTTCAACAAATGAACAGCTGAGTGGTAATTGTTCGTCCAGCTCTCTGACCAATGTTGCCACAGGACGTGGCTCCTTGGATGTGGCCATATACTTGGATAACGAGACATTAAATGTACACGGTGAGTTCCAAGTTTAGAGAACTAAAAATCTGAGCAAAGAGAGGGATTAAACACCAGGAGAGTGGAATTTTTTTTGGAAAAAATAGGAAAAATTCTTCGGTCCTGGGGAGTAATCTTTTTTCTATAGAAAAAAATTCGTCAGGGCCGTGGAGGCATTTTTTTCTATAGAAAAAAAATCGTCGGGCCAGGGGAGTGATTTTTTTCTATAGAAAAAAATTTCGTCGTGTCTGTGGAGGCAATTTTTTTCCTATAGAAAAAAATTTCGTCGGGTCCGTGGAGGCAATTTTTTTCTTATAGAAAAAAATTCGCCGGGTCCGTGGAGGCAATTTTTTTCCTATAGAAAGAAATTCGCCGGGTCCGTGTTGCGATTTTTTTCTATAGAAAAAACTTTGTCGGGCCAGGGGAGGGATTTTTTTCTATAGAAAAAAATTTGTCGGGCCAGGGGAGGATTTTTTTCTATAGAAAAAAATTTGTCGGGCCAGGGGAGGGATTTTTTTCTATAGAAAAAAATTTGTCGGGCCAGGGGAGGGATTTTTTTCTATAGAAAAAAATTTGTCGGGCCAGGGGAGGGATTTTTTTCTATAGAAAAAAATTTGTCGGGCCAGGGGAGGGATTTTTTTTGTATAGAAAAAATTTGTCGGGCCAGGGGAGGGATTTTTTTATAGAAAAAATTTGTCGGGCCAGTGGAGGGATTTTTTTCTATAGAAAAAATTTGTCTGGCCAGGGGAGGGATTTTTTTCTATAGAAAAAAATTTGTCGGGCCAGGGGAGGGATTTTTTTCTATAGAAAAAATTATCGGCCAGGGAGGGATTTTTTTTCTATAGAAAAAATTTGTCGGGCCAGGGGAGGGATTTTTTTCTATAGAAAAAAATTTGTCGGGCCAGGGGAGGGATTTTTTCTATAGAAAAAAATTGTCGGGCCAGGGGAGGGATTTTTTTTCTATAGAAAAAATTTGTCGGGCCAGGGGAGGGATTTTTTTCTATAGAAAAAATTTGTCGGGCCAGGGGAGGGATTTTTTCTATAGAAAAAAATTTGTCGGGCCAGGGGAGGGATTTTTTTTCTATAGAAAAAAATTTGTCGGGCCAGGGGAGGGATTTTTTTCTATAGAAAAAAATTTGTCGGGCCAGGGGAGGGATTTTTTTCTATAGAAAAAAATTTGTCGGGCCAGGGAGGATGTTTTTCTATAGAAAAAATTTGTCGGGCCAGGGGAGGGATTTTTTTCTATAGAAAAAATTTGTCGGGCCAGGGGAGGGATTTTTTTCTATAGAAAAAATTTGTCGGGCCAGGGGAGGATTTTTTTCTATAGAAAAAAATTTGTCGGGCCAGGGGAGGGTTTTTTTCTATAGAAAAAAATTTGTCGGGCCAGGGGAGGGATTTTTTTCTATAGAAAAAAATTCGTCGGGTCCGTGGAGGAATTTTTTTCGTATAGAAAAAAATTTCCCAGGGAGGATTTCTAGAAATTCGTCGGGTCCGTGGAGGCAATTTTTTTCGTATAGAAAAAAATTCGTCGGGTCCGTGGAGGCAATTTTTTTCGTATAGAAAAAAATTCGTCGGGTCCGTGGAGGCAATTTTTTTCGTATAGAAAAAAATTCGTCGGGTCCGTGGAGGCAATTTTTTTTCGTATAGAAAAAATTCGTCGGGGTCCGTGGAGGCAATTTTTTTTCGTATAGAAAAAATTCGTCGGGTCCGTGGAGGCAATTTTTTTTCGTATAGAAAAAATTCGTCGGGTCCGTGGAGGCAATTTTTTTCGTATAGAAAAAAATTCGTCGGGTCGTGGAGGCAATTTTTCGTATAGAAAAAATTCGTCGGGTCCGTGGAGGCAATTTTTTTCGTATAGAAAAAAATTCGTCGGGTCCGTGGAGGCAATTTTTTTCGTATAGAAAAAAATTCGTCGGGCCAGGGGAGTCATTTTTTTCGTATAGAAAAAAATTCGTCGGGCCAGGGGAATCATTTTTTTCTATAGAAAAAATTCGTCGGGCAGGGGAATCATTTTTTTCTATAGAAAAAAAATTCGTCGGGCCAGGGGAGTCATTTTTTTCTATAGAAAAAATTCGTCGGGCAGGGGAGTCATTTTTTTCTATAGAAAAAAATTCGTCGGGCCAGGGGAGTCATTTTTTTCTATAGAAAAAAATTCGTCGGGCCAGGGGAGGGATTTTTTTCTATAGAAAAAAATTCGTCGGGCCAGGGGAGGCACTTTTTTCTATAGAAAAAAATTCGTCGGGCCAGGGGAGGCACTTTTTTCTATAGAAAAAAATTCGCCGGGTCCGTGGAGGAAATTTTTTCTATAGAAAAAAAAATTCGCCCGATCCGTGGAGGCAATTTTTTTCTATAGAAAAAAAAATTCGCCCGATCCGTGGAGGCAATTTTTTTTCTATAAAAAAAAAATCGCCAGGTCCGGTTTGCGATTTTTTTCTATAGAAAAAAATTTTACTATAGAAAAAAAGAATCCATAAAAAAAAAAAATTCAAATAATTCCTCTCATCTCTCACACACTCTCTCATTCTCTCTCTCTCTCTCTCTTCGAAACCATATTTTTTTAATTTGTTTTTCACTTCCTTTCAGTTATTCGTTGCCGTGACTTGCAGCGTCCCAATGGCACTCCCTCAAATAATCTCAATGCCTATGTCAAGGTGGCTCTGATTCGTCAATCCCAGAACCAAACTCAATCCTATCAGCGCACCGTAGTTCACCGTCATTCCAATCGTCCATATTTTGATCACTGCTTCAAATTTGACCTATCCGATTTGGCTGCTGCCGTCGAGGAGATCAAGCCCGAGGATCATCTACAGATGGCGGTGTGGCATCGGGATCGCCAGCTTAAGTGAGTATGATCGTAGTTGCTCCTCCCCCTTTTGTTAAAAACGAACATTTAGATTGAAAACAAAAAACAAATACAAACCAGGCAAACAAACAATATCGGAACTATTTTTTAGGCTTAAAACAAAATTGTAGTTAAAAATATTTTAAAAAAATTGAAAAAAAAAATTGGAAAAATTAAAAATTGAAAAAAAAAAAAAAAACAAAAACCAAAAGTGTTTTCTTTATTTTACTGCCGTAGTTAGAACAATTCTTTATAAATTGCTTTAAATGTTGCCAGCTTTAATTGAGCTACCTTTAATTTTGTCTGCAATTCCTTCACACCCCCATAAACCCTCCTCCCATCCTACCTTTCCGCACATCCTCTGGCTGTGTGCGAGGAAAATTTAATGTTGGCTCTTGGGTCTCATTAAGTACTTACACATCCTTTGCTAATGGTTGCCGGTCCATTTTCCTCCTTTACTCCTTCTTTCCCACCTCTCCTCTTCCACCCCTCCCCCTTCCACCTCCTCGTTGTAATTGTCACCATGCCCACGGAGGATAACTTTCAATTTACTCTTTTTTTTTTTTGTTGTTGCTGTTTTTCTCTGCTTTTTTTCGTCTGGTCACAAAAATTATTTAATTATTGTCGTTGCCTCCTCAACAAGTCCCTTAAATAGATGCTTTCGTCCTTTTTTCTTCTAAATTTTATGGTCTTCTCTGTTTGGCGTTATGCTTTATGAGTACATGGAAAGGACATCGACTGATGTCCTTTGCAAACATTTGCCACGCTTCTTTATGACGATGATAATACTACCGGTTGATTTCTGCTACCTTTATGTGTATTTGTGGGGGGGAATTCGTTGATGTCCTTTTTGCTTCCTTAAAGGCAAGGGATGCTTTGCTCGTCATCTTGACTTCTTGGAGATGTCATGGGTTGTAATAACAGTTTGACATCATACAACCGCTGTCACTATCAGGACAGACTCATTTTATGGGGAGGCACACATACAAGTTTTTGAATCTATCATCGATAACTGGAAAAAAATTATCGACAACTTTTAATAGTTGTTCCCGGTTAATCTTCTATACGGAAAAGATGTTAATCGATAACTTTTCTACACAAAAAAATATTATCGAAAACTTTTCTTCACAGAAAAAATGTTATCGATAATTTTTCTAGACAGAAAAATTATTATCGATAACTTTTCTCACAGCAAAGTTACTATCGATAACTTCTCTGTACAGGAAACTTATTACCGATAACTTTTCTACACAGAAAAATTATTATCGATAATTTTCGTCTATATCGATAATTCTTTTTTATATAGAATAGTTATTAGCGACAACTTTTCTATACGGAAAAATTGTTTTCGACAACTTTTCTATACGGAAAAGTCATTATCGATAAATTTTCTGTGCGGAAAAGTTGTTATCGACAACTTTTCTATATAGAAAAGTTGTTATCGACAACTTTTCTATATAGAAAAGTTGTTATCGATAACTTTTCTATACAGAAAAGTTGATATCGACAACTTTTCTATACAGAAAAGTTGTTGTCGACAACTTTTCTATTGAGAAAAGTTATTACCGATAACTTTTCTATACAGAAAAGTTGTTATCGACAACTTTTCTATGGAGAAAAGTTATTACCGATAACTTTTCTATGGAGAAAAGTTACTATCGATAACTTTTCTATGGAGAAAAGTTACTATCGATAACTTTTCTATGGAGAAAAGTTACTATCGATAACTTTTCTATGGAGAAAAGTTACTATCGATAACTTTTCTATGGAGAAAAGTTATTATCCATAACTTTTCTATGGAGAAAAGTTATTATCGAAACTTTCTATACAGAAAAGTGTTATCGACAACTTTTCTATACAGAAAAGTTGTTATCGACAACTTTTCTATACAGAAAAGTTATTATCGACAACTTTTCTATACAGAAAAGTTATTATCGACAACTTTTCTACACAGAAAAGTTGTTATCGACAACTTTTTTCTATAGAATAGTTGTTATCGACAACTTTTCTCTATAGAATAGTTGTTATCGACAACTTTTCTCTATAGAATAGTTGTTATCGACAACTTTTCTCATATAGAATAGTTGTTATCGACAACTTTTCTATATAGAATAGTTGTTATCGACAACTTTCTATATAGAATAGTTGTTATCGACAACTTTTCTATATAGAATAGTTGTTATCGACAACTTTTCTATATAGAATAGTTGTTATCGACAACTTTTCTATATAGAATAGTTGTTATCGACAACTTTTCTATACAGAAAAGTTGTTATCGACTTTTTTGTTGTTATCGGCAACTTTTCTACACGGAAAAGTTGTTATCGACAACTTTTCTTTACGGAAAAGCTGTTATCGACAACTTTTCTTTACGGAAAAGTTGTTATCGACAACTCTTCTTTACGGAAAAGATGCTATCGATAAATTTTCTATACAGAAAAGTTATTATCGATAAATTTTCTATACAGAAAAGTTATTATCGACAAATTCTCTCAATAACAACTTTTCTTTATGGAAAAGTTGTTATCGACGAATTTTCTTTATGGAAAAGTTGTTATCGACGTATTTTCTTTATGGAAAAGTTGTTATCGACGTATTTTCTTTATGGAAAAGTTGTTATCGACAACTTTTCTTTATGGAAATGTTGTTATCAACACCTTTTTGTTATCGACAACTATACAGCAAAGTTGTTATCGACAAGTTTTCTACATAGGAAAGTTGTTATCGAAAACTTTTCTGCATAGGAAAGATGTTATCGACAACTTTTCTGTATAGAATAGTTTTTATCGACAACTTTTCTATATAGAATAGTTGTTATCGACAACTTTTCTATATAGAATATTTTTTATCGACAACTTTTCTATACCGAAAAGTTGTTATCGACAACTTTTCTATACGGAAAAGTTGTTACCGACAACTTTTCTATATAGAATTGTTGTTATCGACAACTTTTCTATACGGAAAAGTTGTTATCGACAACTTTTCTATACGGAAAAGTTGTTATCGACAACTTTTCTATACGGAAAAGTTGTTATCGACAACTTTTCTATACGGAAAAGTTATTTTCGATAAGTTTTCTCCATAGAAAAATTATTATCGATAATTTTTCTTCATAGAAAAGTTATTATCGATAACTTTTCTATGGAGAAAATTTATTATCGATATATTTTCTGTGGAGAAAAGTTATTATCGATAACTTTTCTATGTAGAAAATTTATTATCGATAATTTTTATATGTAGAAAATTAATCATCGATAACTTTTGTGTGGAGAAAAGTTATTATCGATAACTTTTCTATGGAGAAAATTTGTTATCGATAACTTATCTAAAGAGAAAACTTATTATCGATAACTTTTCCCTGGAGAAAATTTATTATCGACAACTTTTCTATAAAGAAAAATTGTTATCGATAATTTTTCTCTAGGGAAAACTTGTTTGTTTGTGTTGGGAAAACTTGTTGTCGATAACTTTTCTATAGAGAGAAGTTGTTATCGAAACCTACTGATGTAATATTTTTAATTTTTTTATTTATTTTTCTGCATATTTCCCCCCAAAATTCGTGGTTATTTCTCTTCTGGAAATATCTCTTTTTATATGGGAAATTTTATTAGTAGTTCCCTTATTTATTGAGACATTTTGTTTTAGGAAATGTGTCTTTAATGCATGTCCATTACCCCTTGGTTGTGTGCAATCAACCAACCCTCCCCCCCCTCCCTTGTAGATTAGCATTCCATATTAGCAAACCACAAAAACTACCCTTAAAAGTTCAAACATAAACAAATCGCAAGTTCCGATTTTTTTTTCAACTGTCCCAAGCGAAACACATGTTGTGTGTTTTGAAAAAAAAAAAAGAAAAAAAAAAACAATCAAAGACCGGTAATAAAAATTAAGCAAAGAAAAAATCATGATAGAAATAACAGCACATGGTTTTTTGGATGCCAATGCTCTACCACTCTCTCTCGAGAGATAGAGTAGGAATGGGATCCAGATTTAAAAAATTCCGGCGCATTCGAGATGGAAACCACAGTTTGTTGGGGCGCATGTCCACACACACACAGAGAGAGAGATTGGAGGCCACCCTGGCTTTTCGTAAGATGTCTATGGTGAGCTCAGTTAGATTTTCGTTGAGGTTCTGTTAAAACGTGCAAAAAGGATAACGCGGAACATTGTAGCCACAGAGGGCATTTTCCACAGGAGTCCATGGAAAATGCTGGGGAGGAAAACACACAGATGAAAAAAAAAAATATATGAAGCCATTGAAAAAATAATTGTTAAATAATTAATTGAAAAAAAATGAAATAAAAACCAGGCCTTTTTCACAAAGGAGTGGTGTAAATTAATAGAAAAAAACGCGAAATTTTTTTGAAAAATCCATTGGCTGAATGGAAATGCAGTGGAAACAACTTTGTGAAATTATATAATTACTTTATTAAATTTAATAAAAAAAAAATCAAAACAAATCTCGAAGAAAAAAAAAAAAAAATTAAATAAAATAAAAATTAAAAAAAAAAAAAATTCAAAAAAAAAATATTTGTCCTGAAAAAAATGTACACCTAAGTCTAACTTCAACGAATTTTAAATATTTAAGTGCAAAGAAAAAAAAATATTTGTGGTGCGTTCAAATTTATGTTGGTATTAAAAATTTTCCCTACATATATATGCTCCAAAAGCCATCAGGAGGAAGTGCAGACATGAAACTCAAAGGACATTCAGTGGTTCCTCTATAAAAATTATTTTTATGACATTGGAGTTCATGCCGTTGTTGTTTTTTTTTCTAGGGGAACAACACATTTTTTTCTATAACAAGAAATTTTTACCACTAAAACGTGTGCTGCAAGAGAGAGAGAGGGAGAGAGAGAAAAAAAATTAAAAGAGAAAGAGAGCAAACCCAAGAGTTGCCGCAAAGTGTGGCCAAATTGTCCACACAAACAAAAGGACCTCTCCAAATTTGAAGTTTATCTCCACTCTAGCTCACCAATAATGAGCTGAGAGGCTCCAACGAAGTTTTATGCTCAATTCTGAGTGTGTGCATGTGTGTGTGAGGCATCGACACATTAACATCCTAGGCATTACAAGGATAATAGGATATACAAAAAAAAGATCCAA